AAAGACAAAGTTCCCTGAGGCATATGTCGCATCCATAATGAAATGAAAAGTCGTTTCAAACAGTCACAAACAGGTCCTGCACGAACAGGTATCGGACACAGTTTTCAAGACTGAGTTAGGGTCATGTCTCTTCGATAAAAAGTCATGTCTGTTCGGCAAYAAGTCAAAGGCTACAGTCCCAGTTCAGTCATAATTCCATGAGTCAGTCCTGATTCAGACCAGGAGTCCAAAAGACAGGCCCGATGGCCCAAAGCAGCAGCAGACCATGGGAAAAGACACTGGGACACACACTTTGCAACAACGGGTACTGGGCAGGAGTCCCATGGACACTTGAGGCTGAACGCAGGCCACGCCAGACCAGCCCAGCACTATAAAGGACTGACCAGCCTCCCATTTGGCAGATGCTCACTTCACATGAGAGTGTGGAAGTGCTGTGGCACTTGTGCGCTAGATGTGTGTGGGCTGCGCTAGGCTGAAGAGCAGCGCTATGAGAGAGGGAAGAGAGTGCTGGCTAGAGGGAAGGCAGCCATAGCTGCGCCAGCGCTAGTTAGTATGTTAGTAGGGATAGTCAGTAGGAGTTACCAGTGAGTAGTATTCAGGGTAGATCCTCGTGTGATAGGGAGTGTGCATGCATGTTGAGTGAGAGTAGACCAGGACTATAGATCAGGAGGGAGAGAGAGAAGAAAGCAGACGAGAGAGGGGGAGGTGTGAGCTATGGTGATACTCACCTATTGAGGGCTGTTGTTGATGTTCGGCAGTTGGTGCTGATGAGCGCCAGGCCTGGGAACCCATGTTGATTGGAGAAGACTTGTGACTCTATTTGGCGCTGTACATTTGGACTTACGAAGTACCCTGCTTACTCTGGGTTTGATAAATAATTGAGTTGAGCTTCCTGGTTCTCATTCAACTTCTATTGGGCTTTGTGTGAGACATTGCGATCTGGGAAATTTGTGTGAATGCATGTGTTTTGATGCACTCCAGCAAGTGTTGAACAGTCGGGTTCCTTGCATTTCATTGCATCATCATGTCGTTATAGGCTTCTAAGATCCGAACGAGTTTCATTTAAAAAAAAAAAGGAAAGAGGTTCGAAGAGTGGTTTTTCAACTTTTTTGGCATGGCACTACTCAAATGAAACGGTTTTCTACTGAATGAACTTTGATAGAATGCCCAGCAGGGTAGTTTTGCAGCCAACGGCCGATGTCCACTGCTGACCGTTCGGCAGCCGATCAGTCAAGGGTATCGGTTGGCAGAGGACGAAGGGGCTGGGATCTTTCCCGATCTGGGATTGGGGCTGAACTGTGCATGTTGAGTACAGCCCAAATCCTCTACAAGAAACTTCGGTTCGGTTTTCGGGCGTGAGGAGAGAGGGCGGAGGGGTATTAGAAAACTAATTAAACCACCAGTTCACACGAATGTAAGTAGTGCTCTTACAGGTAGGTGTGGTAAGAGCATTTCGATTCGGGCCTGTACCGGTAGTGAACACGTCAGGCCACTTTGGAAATGCGCAGTTGCAGGCTCACAAGCCTTGAAAGGTAGGGTTGAAAAAAAAAGAAAAAAAGCCTTGGAAGGTAACTTTGTCAGCTTAGGCTCGTGTGAACTGGTGGTTGAAGGGGAGTAGCTTCGGATGGGGGATGTCTTTTGTTGATTAGGCTGCCTGAGGTTGTAGGGCATACTAAGGCGACCCTATCCGCTATTCAGATCTTTCTTCTTCTTCCTCGTCTGTGTTTTTTTTTTTTTTTTTGAAGAAGGGGATATTCATATCTTGATTGTGTGTATATTTCACCAGTATAAAATAATAAACCTATCCCATGTGCCATCTCATTTATCCTTGAAAGTTCAAAACTAAGTCATGAGAGTAGCTTCGGACAAGGGATGTCTCGTGTAGATTGGGATGTGTGAGGTTGTAGGAGATACAAGGGCGATGACCCTATCCACCATTCAGATCTTTTTTTTTTGTTTTATTTTTTGTTTTTAACACCATCACTAGGTGATGACCCTACCCGCCATTCATATCTTATTTTTTGTTTGATTTTTTGTTTTTAACACCATCACTACCATCAGTACTACCGCCGGTACGACCACCGGTACTACCACCGGTACTACTACCGGTACTACTACCAGTACTACCACTGGTACTACTACAGGAGGGAGAATGTAATACGACTACCAGAAGAAGAATGTGCAGCTTGACTATGAAGAAGATGATAGATGGTTGGATTGCATTGACTCCTGCCTTATGGAGGTTTCGGGCCTGAGGTGAAATATTCTCTTTCTGTCTCTGTGAAGCCGAAGTAGAGACGAAAAAGAACTCCCCTCATGCATTTTACTTATGGAGATTAAAGAATATGTAGTAGTCGCAGTAGCAGGTAAGTAGTGAGTTGTAGTATTACTTGCAGTGGAGGTGGTAGTAGTAGTAGTAGTAGTAGTAGTAGTAGTAGTAGTAGTAGTAGTAGTAGTAGTAGAAGAAGAAGAAGCAGAAGACGAAGAAGAAGACAACAAAGAAGAAGTGCGCCACTTGCATACGAGGATATGATTGCAAGACAAGCACATGTGAATTGTAGGCTGCGTGTTCTTATTGTTGTTTTCTGGATCCTGGGTTTTGGGCGAGTGGGGTTCCTTCCAGTGGCCTCATGAGATGAACATTGCGGAAATATTGGAATGCATTTATGAAAGAATCTTTTGACTTTTGAGTGCCCATACTATATCTTTTGGATGGAACTGCTTCCCTTCTAGCTTTTCTTAGGCCTGTCTTCCGCTTGGTCTTTTAGGAAATTCTCTATGATTCCTAAGCACATTATTTTGTCTTCTGCAGAACCAGTAGGTGTTGGGCGTTCTGCCATTGACAGCAAGGCTGCCGATATGCAGAAACGTGGCGAGTCTGCAGCCCCTACTGAGTCCACAAAAGCTGTACATGCTGATTTGCCAAATCGGATCAGTAAGCCAGCAGTTGTTGCCGCAGGTGGGGATTCTAACAAGGCGTCTGACGTCTGTGGAAGAATAACAGGGCCAGAAGATCCTGAGCACCTCAGTCAGGAGGATAACAGACTTCAGGGTATGGATGGTGAGGGGACCAAGCAAGTGGCTGGGGGAATGCCAGTCAATGATAGAGGCCAGACAGGACAAGGGTTGCTCTCGGATGAGGAGAAGAGGAGGTGGGTTTCTCAGGGTATGGTTGCTTCCTGGCCCATGGCGAACGGCGATAGAATGGGTCTTCCTCCTCAAGGTGCAGGGTTGAGAGCTCCCGGAAGAACGTCTGAGCAGGCAATTGTGGAAGGTGCTGGGGGAAGGATGCCAGGTGAGCTATCGACTCTCGCCTCACCAAGTGGGATGGGGTCTGACTCTGCAGGGCTGGTCTCACATCCTGTGGGGACGACTCCTCAGACGTCGGTTCAAGGGCCGGTCGCTGCAGACCTGGCAGGCAGTGAACATCCTGTATTGCCAGGAGGGCTGGGGCAGGCATCAGGGGCGATGACCGTCCCACCTGATGCCATCACAGATAAAGGCAATGACTCCAAGGAAGTGGCGGGGCCCCCTGAAAAAGGATCACAACCTGAATCTGGCGAGGGTGCATCCCGTGATGGGGTTGGTGCTGCGGGTCAGGCTGCAAAAGTGGAGAAACAGGTTGTGCCAAGCACTGGTGCTGTACTACGAGGAGGGCCGGTGGCAAGTCGCAATGGTGTGAAAGAGGCCCCTAGCAGCATGGCTTACCGTGTGCCACAATCGTCAGGAGCTCCTACTGCTGATGGCCATGGGGTTGGCGGTCGTGATGGTGTGGTGGGTGATTATTTGGAGACAGGGGGATGGAGTGTGTCCACAGCCAATAGTGGGGTTGTGGGCTCCCAAGGAGGTTTTCCATTTGGCCATCAGAGACGGCTCGGCGGTGTGGATGGTATAAGCTTTTGGCATTTTGCAAAACCAAGCAACCCATCACACAGTGCCATGATAGTGGCAGCAGCGGCCTTGCGAGTTGCAGAGCAGGCAGCTGCTGTCTTGCATGGCTCATCTCACCCTACCATAGCCCACGCACATCATGGAGGACCCCATGGTGGGGGGGGTGCCTCCGCTCGAGGCCCTGATGTGGGCAGAGCAGGAATGCCACCCTCTGGGTCATCCTCGGAAGGTCACCAAAGAGGGGGGGGGCAGTGGGCTGCTTTGCCAGGGCCCGGTGTTGGTACTGGTGGATCAGCGGGACAGCCAGGTGCCGGCAATCTTACAGTTCCACGTACTTCTGGCATAGAGGCTCCAAATGGGCGAGGCAATGGCCGAAGTTGTCAGGTGGGAAGCCAGAGAGATACCAGTGCGCACAACACTGATGCACGAAGGGGGATGACCACTGGAAGTCCGGCAGAGAGCCACGGTGGGCACAGCACACGGGCAACAGCTGCAGCAGCAGAAGCAGCAGCAGCAGGAGGAGGGAGCGCCGCTGGCAGTGCTGGTCGGGATACGGTTGTGGGTACAGATGGCCCGATCCCTCCACGGTCTTCTCGCCCTTCTGTCGGAGGAGCAGGTCAGGGATCCAACAGTGAGAATGGTGTGGCTCGAGATGACAGTGACGAAGCTGAAGATGAGGAGCCGATCAAGTGGGCTGAAGATGCTGATGCCTATGACCAACCTAAGATTGAGAGGTCAACAATGGACTTGTGGTTGAGCTCGGAGCAGAAGCGCAAAGCTGATATAAAACACCAGATGTCTACTCTTCAGAAGGTTCTTGATAGCAAGATTAGTCAACGCGGCGAGTATCTCAAGGTGAGCTTTCTTGCTCGCTTGTGTCTGCTTGATGTCTGGGTTGTGGCCATGTTTGTAACACTTAGACCTGACCTACAAAGCCTAAAGAAGCAAGGAACCTTACTGTTTTCTAGCAGTCCCCCAAGGGAAGATCTGGTCCCTCCCAGTTGCTGTGGGTTGAAAGGAGGAGGGACCCTCCCTGCTAGTGTTGGTTTAAACCAGATGAATGTTTAAGCCTGCAGGTTGCAGGTCCAGCTGCAAAACTGCTGAACACAACTCTACAGAGCCTCCCTCATTGAATACTTAGTGGTGAAGAGCGGTAATTGGAAGAACAAGCATCCAACTTGTGATTTGCAAATTCAGAACGCCAAGTGTCGGAATCATGATTGCTATCTTATTCATTCTTTGACGGCGTTACCAAAAATGTCATCATGACGAGGAATGAAAGCCCAAATTGCAATGTCTTTTCTCCCACAGGACCCTCCCATAAGCCCTACAACCCCCTTTTAGTGCTATGCCTCTCCTCTCTCTCATGCTCCTGGACCGCTGTTCTATCTGTCGTGTTCCGCCAGATTGGTTAAATCTTCTTCAGTCTCTCGACTTTGCAGGCCTGGTTTACCTTTATGGTGCGAGCTCTATCTGTCTGTATGTATTGCAGTCATACTTTTGGGGCGCCCAGTGGTTTCATTCATGCTTTCTGTACTGGAATAGCGAGGGGGAGGAGGGAAGGGAGGGTACATGAGGAAAGAGCAGGACAAGGCTGAGAGGTGACAAGTGGAAAAGAGTGTGTTCAGGGGTGGAGAAATATCGAGGGAGGGCTTTGACCATGATGAAGGTGGTCTTTGATCCTCAGCAAACAGGGGATGATGAACGGGAGGGGGTGGGCAAGGGAAAGGTGGGTGGGGGCGCTGGGGAGAAGAGAGCAGGTTGAAGGCAGGTGCACGCTCTGATCTGTCCCGCCATTCTTCACAGCTCGGCTTGGCCTTGCTATGGGAAGGCAGGTGTGATCACGCTCATTGTCAGATGGATGTGCCTACTCCTTTCTCTCGAATAAAACATATGGTCATTATCTCTGTATCCAAAGTGAAACTTTCTCCACATATACAGCTATAGTAACCATATGTTCTATTCGGGGGAGAACGGCAGTGCTCTCTGCTCATCTCGACAAGTGTGTGTGTGTGTGTGTGTGTGTGTGTGTGTGTGTGTGTGTGTGTGTGTGTGTGTGTGTGTGTGTGTGTGTGTGTGAGAGAGAGAGAGAGAGAGAGAGAGAGAGAGAGAGAGAGAGAGAGAGAGAGAGAGAGAGAGATTCATTTTCTGTTTCGGTGGTCTGTTTTACAGGGGCTTTCGGTTAGTGAGGGAGGTGGCGGGGCGGATCATGTCTCCCAGACGAAGAGCATAATCGAGCTCAAGAAGATTCAGCTCCTGCATATGCAGAGGACTATAAGAAGGTTGGTCTTTCCCTTGTTCCATTAATCCTATCTTTTCGTTTGCTCTTTCCGTTTCTCTCTTTCCATTAATCCTATCTTTTCGTTTGCTCTTTCCGTTTGTCTCTTTCCATTAATCCTATCTTTTCGTTTGCTCATTTTTCATGTCTCTTTGTTCTTCCTTGTTCCTTCCTGTGATCTTCAAACATGTCTCTGTGTTCCCCTCCAGTAATCAACATACACCCTAGGAAAATCACAGTCAGGCCCAACCTGGGCACAAAATTCAAAGGGTGAAATATTTCTCAGGAGTCAACCACGACCACAGATCACTCCCAATCCAAAGGGTCGCTGGGTCCAGGAGACACGGTCTGGAAGAAAATGTAAAGGTCAGGAAATCTCGGCTGTTTGAGGAGGCAACTCGAGGCAGGCGAGGTCGTGTCGACTCTACAAATACGGAGCCTGCCGCAGGTGGTGTGCTCATTCTGCCTTGCACTGCTTTGAGGCTGGAGCACTAGTGGGCAGGCAGAGAGTGAGAGTGAGAGTGAGAGTAGTCATTGCTAGGATAAATAGTGCACTGCACCAGAACTTACCTCCCCGCACGCGCGCGTGAGAGAGAGAGAGAGAGAGAGAGAGAGAGAGAGAGAGAGAGAGAGAGAGAGAGGGAGGGAGGGAGAGAGGTTTAAGGAACGATCACATCCTGGGAGAGAGAGGCTTACAGGAGACCTGATGGTGGGCTGTGTTTGGAGGGACAGCGCTTTGGTTTAGAAGGCTGTTATTTCTTGGACCGGTTTTATTCCTCAGTGTGCCAGATTGATCTTACATCAGCGAGTGACTTAGCCGATTGGCAAGGTGCTTGTGAGAGTCATATCGGCTTCATCATGAGAGTAGAGGGATAGGTTGATGTCTCTCAGGTGGCGAGAAGAGAGAGAAGCCTGGAGGTAGAGGGGGGGAGGCGAGACAAGACATTGTACTTCTTTGTTGTTATTGGAAAGTATCCTTCTGCTCTTTTTCTTCTCTCCTTTGTCTAGGCTCTTGTCTACTTGCTGTCTCTTGGTGATTGTCAATCATTGAGCAGCATGGGATGCGGGATGTTGATATTGCGAGATTTTGCGAGTTTCTTGATTTGGGTTCGTTACATGCTCCTCTTCCTCACCTTCCCTCTTTCCCCCTTTCTTTTCTCTCTCTCTCTCGGAGTTCAAGTCTGCATCTTTTGTTTCCATCTTGTTTTTGTGGGTTGTTAACTTTACATTGCGTTTGCTTAAACCACGAGTACTTCCGAGCCACTTTTGCCCATGGCTCCAAACGACCAGCGCGCCAAAAAAACAAACCGGCGCAGGCCTCATTTTGGCTGGTGCTGCCAGCCATTTTGCTCTGGCTGCAGACCCCTCAAAGTTGCGGCAACATGCAAGGCGCATTGCGGCGGTGGAGAAAAATGGCTGGGAAATATACTGTTGGCTTAAGGTTTCGAGGGAATGGACCATGGTTATCATCTGGACATGCTGACAGCCATCCCGACTGTCTGGATGTCTGGGTTCGGATATTACCATGTGGACAGGTGGACGACCATCCAGACTGTGTGGATATCTGGGTCCAGATGTGAATGTCGGGATGCTGTGCGGATAATTTAAACATATATTAATTTTGGAACACCCCGACTTTTGGAAAAAAAAAGAAAATCTGAAGAAAATATAGGTTATGCAGCATTGCACTGCAAAAATCTTTGTAGTCAACATGCAAGGAGAAAGATAAAAACGATGTTTTTTTTTTTTTTTTTGCGGTAGAGAGGAAGAGGGGGGCACCGCATGCCTTGATGCCATCTTGACAGTACGGGTTCGGACTGCCCGGATCTGTCTACGGTTCAGGGCTTATGGAATGGACACATCTATAAAGGTCCTTCCTCTTGCAGACAAAGCATCTATGAATGGGCCTTTCTGTGTCGATCATGATATGTCTTTTTGTTTTCTTCCTACGGTCTTAATTCCACCTGTGGTTGTTTTTTTTTTTGTTTTTTTTTTGGTGGTTGGTTTTCACTAAGGAGAAACAGATCATCTTCGTTGCAGTAAATGGAAGCAAAGAGGATGTTGCTTGTTTAATGAAATCATTGAAATTCTGTTATCTCCAGAGCCTTGCCTCAGTGCCTGAAGTCTGTGGCCGGAAAAGGCAAGCTGAAGGATTGAAAAGTTGAAAACAGGATTGACATTTTCATTACCCATGTTTTCACGTTCGACTCGCTCGAACGGACAAAGTGTTTTAGTCTGCCGTGTTTACCATTTTCACCCAGCGAGTATGCTCACTATCAGACTTGAACCAGTAACCCATAGGAACAGATAATAAGTCTGTCATGTTTACCATTTTCACCAAGTGAGCTTGCTTTCAAACTCTATTGCCTGCCATAGGCTCTTTGCACTCATCTTTGTTGCAGTCAGTGGAAGCATAGTGCCTGATGACCACTTCAATAAGCCACTACTATCTCCAGGGTTTGGTCTGGGTACCTGGGGTGTGTCCGATTATGACAAGGCAAGCTGAAGGATTGAAAACAGGGATTGGCATTATCATTATCATTCAGTGTTTTTTTTTTTGTCTGCCATAGGATTTTTGCATTCACCTTTGTTGCAGTAATCACCTTTGTTGCAGTAAATGGAAGCAAAGCGCATGACAATTAGTTGAATGAATTATGCATCAATACTGTCTCCAATGTTTTGCCTTGTTGTCTAGAGCCTGTGTCACGAAAAGGCAAGCGAGAGGTTTATTTCGAACCAATAAAGATGGATGCAAGGGCGGGCAGAAGTTGCAGAAGTTACTTGGAATAGTTTTACGTGTGTGGAAGGTGTTTTCCACCGATAACTACCGTCTTGACCCAAATAGAACACCTGGTCATTATGGCTCTGTATCCAGACTGAATGTTGCCCCGAATACAGCTATAATGACTGGGCGATGGGCGTTCTATTCGGGTTAAGACGGGAGTGTTGAGCTTAAACTTTAAGCTGCCATAACCTGTTATGGGTGTAATGGTTTCTTTGGCCTTGTCCTGGTTTTAAAGGAGGCTTTGGATGCACCAGGCACAGTCAGAACTGAACTCCAGTGACCGGTGCTTCTGGCCGTGGCCTCTGTGTAACAAAGAAGTGTGCATATAGGTACTGGTATTTTTTCGAGGTTCTCTTTAGTGATTCATAGTGCCGAAGCAGGGAGCGACTTGAAATTAGGGAAAAATCTGGCGAAAGTAGGGTTTTGATTGGGGGCAGGCTTGTCCTCTTTGTGATACAGTGATGTGGAGATGGGTTCCTGCATTCCCTTGTACAACTTTCAGAGCCACTACCAACAGCTTCATTGGGGACCTGTTCGTTCATTGGCGAATATGCCGAATGAGCCTCTGCCAAAAAATATTTCGAGCATTGTGTTAGCCAGTGGTGTGTGAATGGTGGAGATTGAAGTTCTGCTTTGAGGTGGGTAGGTGGGACATCAGAAAAGCCATTTGAAAAAGACACGGAATGTGAAATCATGTCGTTGTACTCTTGTTGTCTGATAGTATGCAAGAGTTAATTGTCGTCGTAAATTTGTAGTGCTTGGTTGCGCATGCTCAGTGCTGGTGATCGAGGATGCTGATGTATTGCTTGGTGCACGGCTCTGAGGGCATACTCACAATAACTCTTTTCTAAATGAATCTGACTGGAACCGCGTCCACACCAGGATGCATCTGACCATAATAATGTCTAGAGCTTAGTAGAAAAAAGTCCTCGTGTGACTATGCACTGAGTCTGGATGCAAAGTAAAAGAGGGTAAAAGAACAACTGCACTGAATTGGAAAGAACTTGCCAAAAGGGGAATATCAGCCTGACAGAGAGGAACACTGACAAACAAGTGGGTGGTCTTGTCCCATGTGAGGGCATTGAATAGTGGTACGAGGACCGTAGCAAAGCGTGATGATGATTCTGCTGCCTGGGATTTATGGCGATGACAACGTGATGACTATCCATGCTCATGATGATGACTTCATCATTCTGGGGGTTGCATCATGCGTGGGTCCATTGGTGCTTGCTTGCATGGATGGTTCAATGGGAGGGAGTGGGGAAAATGCATATGTGCACGGGTCAAAGGGAGGGAGTCGGAAGTAATGTGTATGTGGATGGATGGGTCTTGGTGTTTGAGTTCACCTTTCAGGCAGCTCATAGACGATTTTTTTCAGCCGATTGGGTCAGAACTAGCGTCTGTACGCCGCGCGAAGAAACAGCGAACAGGACGACGGCTAAAGCAGCTGGAGCGTTTGGAGTGTAAGCAAAGGGATGAGAGAATGCGGCGCATTCTTCTGAGGCAAAAGGACTTTTTCAAGGAGGTGGAGCAGCACAGGTGAGGATGTCACATACTCGCTTCCAGGTGCCGAGCCGTCTGCAGTCGTCTTCCCCTGTTTGCTCTTTCTCAGTTCTTAAATCATTCGGTCTTGCGCTCGTGTCGTCTTGCAATGAGCCCGTGAACCTCGTGATGGTGAGCGACGTAGACCTTATCAGAGAGTTTCCTTGGTTCGGGATGTCTTACAGGAGGTTATTGGAGGAAACAGTCCGTTTGTTTTTTCTGCCCCTACCAGCATTGGTTGTCTTGGAAGTTGTCGGGGAAATGATCACTCAGGCATGTCATTGTATGAACTGGTGGTCATTTGTTATGCTCATTTGTACAACAAATAGGAAATGAGACGTCTTAGAAGTGGCTCATCAAGTCCTTCGGGACATCGGTTAAAATTGGGACGATACGGAGAAGATTAGGATGGCCCCTGCGCAAGGATGACACGCATAAATCGAGAAATGGTCCAAAAAACAAAAGAAGTGGCTCATCGATTCTTGTTCCTTGCAGGGAAAAGCTGGAAGAGGTGTACAAAAGCAGAAGGGAACACCGGCGGGGTTGGAACCGTCACGTTCGGGACTACCATAAGAGAAAGGAGAGGCAGCAGCGAGAGAAGATGGAAAGAATTCAAAGAGAGAAGATCAACCTGCTGAAGACAAATGATGTCGAGGGCTACTTACGTATGGTTCAGGTGAAGTACCCTCCTATGAAAACTGTGTCATATACCAACCGGCCCAGCTCAGTTGGTACACCCCTGAAATGTTGAAACTTGAAATACTAACCTGAGTTCGAACTCCACTGGAAGCAGATGAATAACTACTGCAGTTCTGAATACCTAGGGCCGGTGAGTTTGACGCGATATCTCAAGGCCATCACCCTTGAAAAAAAAAAGGAAAAAAAACTGTGTCGTATGCCAACTGTCTCATGTGGTACGAGAGGTGCAGGACTTCCCACAGCTGTAGCAATGTCCGGTGTTCTTTGGCAGGTGTTGAAGTCGGAGTTGCTAACAATTGCCACCTGGTTGTGCAGCGTAGATAAGACCTTGCAGTTGTGTAGATGTTCACAGTGAGTATCAGTGTTGCATACCCCGAAGATTGAAGGACCTCGACTGGTCGGCTGCCGACCAGGCGATCGGTCGGCTAGTGGGCACCTACCAGTTGGGGTCATCGGCACCCGGCAAAAATATAAAATAATAAGATGAGTCGGTGAAACTCCGACGAAACAGTTTGTCACAGCCCCTCGTTTGTTGTCCTCTTCTCTCTCTCTGCCTACGGTTTTACCGGGCAGTTCTGTTTGTGACGATATATACAGTTTGTCACAGCTCCTCGTTTCTTGTCCTCTTCTCCCTCTTTGCCTTTGGTTTACCGGGCAGCTCTGTTTGACTATATATATAGTCAAACAGAGTACTTTTTTGGGCCCAGAACCCCTCATAACTCACCGACACCCTCATAGCGGCCCCTAATACCCCCATACACCACCCCAACACCCCCAAACCGCCCCCATCACCCTTATTACTGCCCCCAATACTCCCTCTACCACCCCTATACCCCCCTACACCCCCCCTTCCCCCAACCCCAACCCCCCCCATACCCAAAAGTTTCTCAGCGGATTTGGGCTGTACTCAGCAA